ATTTTATGTAGAGTCTAAGTTTGTTTCCTACCTGCATGTCACCATACCCAGTGGCTGTAATTATTTTTATTTTTTCTGTAATCCCTCGACTTTCACACGTTAACAAATCAAAACAATTTCCACATTTCTGATTCCCTCCTTTCACAGGTTAGGTTATCTGGACGTGTGTTCACTGTTTGTTGATGTGTTCCGATCGCATTCTGAGCAGAGAAGCAGCCTCGCCACCCGTCTTAATACCGGCCTGGAGAACACACTTCAAGGTTTTGCTCTCGGTCTTGGTTCGGACTAGTGTCTTGGGGTTTATAGCTCTTGATCTCGTCATCTCGCTGGGTCTTAGTCTTTATCCCGGTCTCTGCACGTAGATTAGGTTGTTTATGACAATCTAAACTTATTGGGTGCCCAAAGAAGGGGTTAGGTTTATATTATATATATATATATATATATATATATAAAATTTAAATATATATAAATATTTTATATATATAATATATAATTAATATATATATATATTATGCAATAAGATCACAGTAAACAGGTGATTTCAAAATATGCAAAAAAACCACTCTGAAGAATAGAGAAATTCCAAGCGCTTTCGTGACTACTCACTTTATCAAGGAACTATGAAAGTGAAGCACCCCAAGGAAGCTATATAAGGGGTCCGGCCAGCCCCTCACTATCAGATCCCACAACGGTTAAACCCACGTGAGGTGCTGGCCGGGACCCTTATATAGCTTCCTTGGATGCTTTTTCTTTCATATTCCTTGATAAAGTGAGTAGTCACGAAAGCGCTTGGAATTTCTCTATTCTTTCAGAGTGGTTGTTTTTCAATTTTGAAATCCCTGTATACTGTGATCTTATTGCATATTATTATATATATATATATATATATATATAATATTTTATAAATATATATATATATATATATTTTATATATATATATATATATATATATATTTTTATATTATATATATTATATATATTACTTTTTCTTCTTCCTCCAACATCTCCACTGTATTTTGCTCATAACTCGAAAATGCCTCCTCCAACTGCCTTCAGATTGTCAGCACTTAAGTACCATAACTGCGATCAAAATTCTTGCAGCAATAGCCATGCTCACGTTCCCAAAAAACAAAAATTATTGAACCCTTTCCCCAGAATCTTGAAAAAAAACTCCGATAATTTAAAAAAAAAAAGAAATTTTGATTCAAACCATATGACACAAAAGGTACCAAGAAATTCGACGACAGCGGAAAGCGAAATTCTAATTAGTAGGTGCAAATTTTGCGATTATTGTGTAAAATAGTAGGAAATTTTATTTCCGTTAAATCACTTTAATTAAATTTCAATTAACATCTTCTGATCAGCTTTAATATATAATGGGTGATGCATCTAAAACCCAGAATAGTACCAATTAAGTTTCGTTTGCGAGCAGGCAAATTAGATGAATCAGTAAGCACTAAAAAAAGTGATTATGAATCGTTGGAATTCGTGCCACATCTTGAGGATGATTCATAAGATCTGCCTAAAATTATCACAATAGGTGTGAATTTCTGAACACAAAACTCACCCTGGTATTGAGTGCCATAAGTCCCAATTTGACAATTTTATTGAATAAATAATGATAATCATATATTATTTATTAATTGGAAAATATTTCAGATTGCCTTCTAAATATTATTGACGATGGAATAGAATCAATTGCTGGACAATGTCTTTTATGTCCACCAGCAAACTATTGCCACTGGTCAGCTTGTTACTTACTTTGAACTATGTAAATTTCAATTTCATAATTTTGTAAAGTATAATTCTTAAAAATTTCACTACTATGCAATGCATTTTTTCTTTATCTTCAAGTCCTAAATACCGATTTAAATTTATTTGAAGTGTGTTTGTATTAAGTCTGGGGTGTGTGGGTGCCAATTACACATTTTTTGACACATTTATCAAAAGTCAAAATCAATTAGAAAAGAGCGACGGAAGAGTTTAATATTTCTCGGGAGATTCTGAACAGCATTTTCGTTTACTTTCTCTGAAATATTTGTTTATTACTCGAGAACTTCTTATTTGAGCGGCTTCAAATTTTCAACACTTGTGTCGTCTGCAAACAAAGACACCTCTGACTCTATCTTTCCTGTCCTGTCATTTACATACACAAGAAACAGCACCGGGCCAAGGACTGAACTTGAAGAACCCCACTCGACATATGCACTCACTCTAACACCTCGTCTCCTACCGACAAACGTTGTGTCCTTGTCAGGTATTTCCTGACCCATTGTGTAACATAGCTTGTGCAAGTTTCACGGGTCTATTTCTATGTTTGGGTGTTCTATACACAGTGCTACGTAGATCCATCCCAGATTTGGTTTCCCTGTGATAACTAGAGACAGACTCCTCTGATCGACTTTAAAACTTCATCTTGTATCCCACCTAGAAGAACGTTTGTACTATATATTTAATGGAGTGTGCAAGCGCCATTTTGCCACCTTTAGTCACCAAATGGTATGTCACTATCTATCGCATTATTTTGACGCCTTGCTGGTGAGGAGTTCTAGATCCAAGGGACCAGAATTATCTTCCTCTTGCTTGAATTGAAGTTGAGTGCTTCCTATTACACCGGCGATATGTTCTCCAATGTGTTCAGCGCTTTCCTCTGATTAAAATATAATAATTGTTAACGGAATCAGTCATCAACGGATGACACATCGAGTAAAATGGATGGAACTTTTCATGTGTTTAACCTGTGTGCACCAATTTTGTTGGCTTCTGTGCAATAATTTGAAAGTACATTTTGTTTTTGGTTCGCTTTAAACTTATAGTGTTGATGTGTTTTCCTCAAAGGAAACAATTTCTTGATATCAGGTTATGTTATTATCATGTGCTAATTTAACCAAATCAAACTGGTTCCTAAGGTAAATTTTGATTTTAATAGCTTAAATTAGCTTAATGATCTTTAATGTCCCAACAACATCTGCGTAACTTCAAGATCACTGCTGTTAATTTGTCTGTTACATACATTAAACTTACATATTGCATCTGATTAGCTTCAACCCTGGATTACCTGATTTCGCAACCTCTGAGTGGCTTCAGGCTTAATATTCTCGTGTATTTTAGAATATTCATTTATTCCTTTCTGAAAGATTAAAATTAGATTTGTTTTGTGTATATCCTAATTTACAATTTTTATTGAAGAAATCTGAATTTTAGTTTTCATGTGATGAATTCCTCTTCTGATTTCCTGGAGATCCTCAAAGCTAATATTCAGCAATATTATCAATGTATGTCGTACTTTTCATCATTCTAATCACTTTCAATGGGGCACTGGGGACTACGGTTATAGAATACGAGGATACTTTTCTGGGATAGCACGGTAACCGAAATACATCTAGTTTTCTATTTTTTTTTTCAGTAGGCTACGTGGCCTTCATTTTTACCCGAGTTTTGAAACGCCTATTATGATATTTTCCCGAATGTGTCATATAAAAACAGTTTCTTTTGTACTACCGTTGAATGGCCAATTCTTTACCTCTTTTCTTATTTTTATTTTTTTTTACTAATTGTTCCCTGTTATCTTAATTTGAATTTTTGTTTTTCTTGTACATATTTCATTACCGTGCAGCGTTGATTGATCCTCAAAAGTTTGGTGCTTTCAGTTTTTACTAGAGCAGCAGTATACAACCAAAGATAGGTGACTCTCCCAATAAATAATGAAGCATTCAATATTATTCATATATTAATTGTCTTGCCAGTTGTGCGAAAACAATTCAAATGAGCCATCGAACTGAAATATCCTTACCTACTCCTCTGAGGTGGCCCAATGTACTTCCCAAATCAGTTTCTCTAATTCCTTTTATGAATGTTATCTTCTTCACTCTCCGAATGGACCTCAAATCCACTCTTAACTTACCTTCGCTTGCTCTGATCTAACATGCTAACATGTGTTTCGTGGAGGCTTAATTAATCCCCCTCCATATGTGTCTTTTTTATATATTGTCGGTATACATATATGAGGCTCCTGTGCCTCAGCTCCTTACATTTGAAACCTTCACATCCTCCTTCCAACCCTTCCTCAGACAACACCTTCCCATCATTCGTTTCTTACCGTATTTGTTAAACGTCTTGATCATCCTTTTCAATTCCATCCCCTCTTCATGCCCAGAGTCTCAACAACCTATTTATCTCCCTCTGAATTATAACTTTTGTAACAACACACCATCTTATAACCTCTATTCACTGAAATATTTGCAAATTTACAGTAGATATTACTTTCATCTCCACTGACTCCCGCCTTCTCCAATATGCAAAATTTGAAGTCTATGTGTCACACACGAATAAAAATGTTGACATCACTATACTCTGGCAAATTGTCTATTTTGTCTTTATTAAATAGCTCCTCTGTCATCATGTGCGCCTTATCAGTCGACCTACCTACCTCTCCGTTGTTTATTCTGTAGATAACCTCATCTTTATTCACTCATAACCTAGGATGTCCATTTACAAATCTATCTAAAAGCTGCACTTGATCATTTTCTCCGTACTCCTCTCCAAAAACATGCTCGTTCAGGGTTTTTCCATGAATCTTGCTTCTCAATAATAATAATAATAATAATAATAATAATAATAATAATAATAATAATAATAATAATAATAATAATTATTATTATTATTATTATTATTATTATTAAATAGTGATGCTACTAAACGATAAAGATGGATTATATAGTGTATTGAAAATTTTCAGATATTGTTTATATAAAGGCAGTATTACTCTGTTTTCATTTATTGACATTTACTTGTTAGTGCAACATGAATGCAGTGTGTATATGATGGTATATATACCAAGAGTTTAATTTCTCATAGTGTGTGTGTACTGTATGAAGTTTATCTCTACTCTGGGGTTTTAAGTATCCTCGATTATTAGAGTAATGGTGAAATGCAGCCGTACTGAACGAAGGACTAGTCTTTAAATTTAAGCTGTCATATGTTTCATGTACTTCCCACAGCGTGAGGCGGCTGCAGGAGCACGGTCTACTGGCACACTGGATGAGACAAGAGCTGCTTAACTCCACCTACTGTCTTACACCGCCTGGTTCGGAACCCATTGAGCAGCGTGCCTTACAGCTCAAGGACTTTTACGGCGTCTTCTCCCTTTTTGGCCTTGGTAAACAGCTACACTCCTTACAACGTTCAGTTCATGATCCTTATCATTTTCTCTAAATATCTATGTATAACCCACCGCTCACCTTGTTCCATGTGTTATTCTTCCCTGTAAAAATAGTTTTCTCTAATTAAGAATGATACTGCATTTCTGCTTTATGTTTGCTAGCCGCCTATAAGGCACATTTCCCCATTAACTACAGAAGAAATCTTCATTTGCTTTTAACTACTTTTATAAATAACTTAAAATTTTCAGCGTCTCTACAGTAATTTAAGAATAAAAAGCTCTTTCTTGAAGATCCTGTGAAATATCTAGTTTTAATTAAGACCATAACAGGTATTAGGTTGGTAGACAGCAACCACCCAGGGAGGTACTACCACCCTGCTAAATGAGTGAGAAACGGAAACCTGTAATTGTTTTGCTCAGTAGTAGGATTGTTAGTGTCCTTTTCTTTTTCTCGTAGACATTACAATAGCAGGTAACTCTCGCCACTATTAGATACACTTAGTTCATACTTCACATGCTTGTTTGTCTATACATATGCAACTGAGTTTTGATTTTTTTTAATAGGTCTTATTATTTTATTTCGTATCCATGGGAAAGCGAAAAGAATCTTTCTTGCGTAAGCCATGTACTCACCTAGCTGTATTCACCTAATTGTGGTTGCAGAGGTCGAGACTCAGCTCCTGGCCCCGCCTCTTCACTGATCGCTACTAGGTCCTCTCTCTGCTTCCTGAGCTTTGTCATACCTCGTCTTAAAGCTATGTATGGTTCCTGCCTCCACTACTTTCACTTGCTAGGCTGTTCCACTTCCAGACGACTCTATGACTGAAGAAATACTTCCTAACATCTCTGTGACTCGTCTGAGTCTTCACCTTCCAATTGTGACCCCTTGTTTCTGTGTCCCCTCTCTGGAACATTCTGTCTCTGTCCACCTTATCTATTCCACACGTATTTTTGTATGTCGTTATCATGTCTCCCTGACCCTCCTGTCTCAGTGTCGTCAGTCCAATTTCCCTCAGCTTTTTTCGTAGGACATTCTCCTGAGCTCCGGAACTAGCCTTGTTGCAAACCTTTGTATTTTCTCCTGCATTAAATGCCAAATTAATTATAAGAAAGAACTGCGTGTGAATACTATGACTGTAAATGCGATACATGAATTTCAGTGGGGAGAAATAAATGAAATTAGGTTAGGTGTCTCTGAGAGAATAAGAGCTATGGAAGGATTAGCGGTAAAGTTGAATGGTCATTTCTGGAAAGAAATGAAGGAATATAAATCTATAAATTCAAGGATTATATGGATTAAAATAAGGTTGGATGAAAGAAGTTGGATATACTATATGTTTATACACTTCCGAAAGAGAGTAGTGCAGAGGAAAGGGATATTTCAGGTGTTAAGACAGTGTTTAGGAAGTTTTGAACCAAGTAAGAAAGCAATTGTTGTGTGGGACCGAAGTGCTAAACTGAGAGGAACTGTTGTACATGGAATAATAGGTATGTTTGGAGTGCCATGTGTAAATGATATTGTTGACCCTCTAATTGAACTATGTACAGAAACAGTTTAGTAGAGGTAATACGTATTTTAAGGAAAAAATTACAAATAGGTACACGATATATGATGTAGGGTATAATGACAGCAGATTTGGGTTTGACTGGTATTAATAGATAAAAGGTTGGTGGGGAGACGTCAGGATATGAATGATTTTAGAGGGGCGATATCTATACCTGAAAGTAATATTTTTAGCAGCTGTTGAGTGATAATGAAGGGAATTACGCAGTAATTACGAATATTGGGGAGAGAGATATAACATCTTTATGGAGTGAAGAAGACCCAGATGTAAGTGTAGAGGAATTATGTAAGACAATGGGAAGAATGAAGGGGAATAAAACAGCTAGAATAGATGGGATCAAGACAGAAAGGCTTAAAACAAGCGGCAAAAAGTTTTCGACTGATTGGTGCAGTTGTTCAATAAATGTATGAATGGGGCAATGGTAATTAGGGATTGGCTTGGAATTGCATTTCTTTTATTGTATAAGGGAAAAGGGAATAAAATAGAGTGTAAGAATTATAGATAAATATGCCTGCTGAGCTTATCTGAAAGAATTAAGGGCAAGACAGAGTAAAACTGCAGACTTGCATGGTTTTACGAAGGGTGGGGGATGTCTAGTTTAAATTGTTTATTTCGAAACACGTATCCGAACAATACTTAGATAAAGGTAATGAAATTGTCGTTGCATTTATGAATCTAGAAAAAAGGCATATGATGTTTGAGAGAATTGTGGGATTAAAAAATAAGAACCTAATACAAAGTGTGAATTTTCATTTGCTTTTTGCCCATGACAAAGTTCTTCGAGGAGATTCTGAAGAGAAGTTGGAAAGGTTGGCAGACGAACTTGGGAGGATATGCAAAGAAGAAAATTGAAAGTGTACCCATGAGAGAGCAAGGTGATGAGAGTAAGAAGAAAATTAGGAAATGAAAGATTAGATATAAGATTGAAAGGAGGGAATAAGAAGGAATGGAAATAGGCTTATCGACAGACAAGTGTATGAAAAATGAGATGAACCACAGAATTGACAAGGTGAAAAATAGAGAGGAGGATGTTGTAATAAAGGATCTATGGAAAACAAAGAAGTATATCCGTGGAGACAAATAGGGAAATGTATCAAAGTATATTCTTATATGGGTATGAAGCCTGGGTTTATCCATTGTAGCAAGGAGAAGGCTGGAGGCAAATGTAGATTTTGTCTGAGGGCAATTCCTAGTTTGGATATTAGAACAGGTTGTGTTACAAAATATATTTTTCAGAGGGCTGAGGTAGTGGTATTGAGGGGATTCAACATTTAGAGAGGATAGAACAAAACAGAATTACTAGGAGAGTGTATAAATATGTTTGTGGAGGGAAGGAAGGGTAAGTGTTATCTTAGGAAAGGTGAGTAGGGAGGGAGTTCAGTAAGTTTTGTGTGCGAAGGGCTTGAACATCCAACAGGCATATGTAAGCGAGTTAGGTAGAAGTGGGTGGATGCAAGGGGTTTTTATGATTTGAGGTGCTGTAGGAGTGTGAGCTAGGTAACATTTATAAAGAGATTCAGGTGAAAACAGGCTAGCCAGAATTGAGTTTTGAAAGTGGGAAGTACAGTGCCTTCACTTTGAAGGAGGAGTTGGATGTTCGGTTTGGAGGGTCATATACGTATATGTAATGTGTAAACACCTCTGCATAGACATAGGTTGAACGATGGTGAAAGTGTATCTTCTTTTTAGCGTTATCGTACTTCTACGGGAGACGTCCAGCGTGTTAAAAAATCAATGTGTCACTGCCTGAATTTATTATACGTTCCACCGATGAAAAATTTAAGATGCGGAGACGTGAAGCTAGAGTTTGATGCCACAAACTAAGTTGCATTAATCTAAAACATAAAATATTGTAATAAACACTGACCAATGTTTCAAACGGACCTTAATGGAGTCAGTAAATAAACAACCGAAATAATTAATTGGTATTTACTTCCATCCGAGAGGTCATCCACAGTGAATACTATTCATTAGCATATCTTTCTCGCCATATTGAACTGAGAGACACAAATGAGCTACAGAGACGTACCTCATTTCTGTGTCTCAGTTTTTGCGTAATTGGGAATGAAAAGTATAGCAGCTTTTCTGTTGAGCTGGTGGTGGTGGTGGTGGTGGTGGTGGTGGTGGTGGTGGTGGTGGTGGTGGTGGTGGTGGTGGTGGTGGTGGTGGTGGCGGTCGTGGTGGTGGTGGTCGTGGTGGTCGTGGTGGTGGTGGTCGTGGTGGTGGTGGTGGTGGTGGTCGTGGTGTTGTTGTTGGTGGTGGTGGTGGTGGTGGTGGTGGTGGTGGTGGGGGTGGTGGTGGTGGTGGCGGTGGTGGTGGTGGTGGTGGTGGGGGGTGGTGGTGGGGGTGGTGGTGGGGGTGGTGGTGGTGGTGGTTTTGGTGGTGGTGGTAGTAGTGGTGGTGGCATTCCCAGTAGACAGGTGAGGCTATGAGGTGAGACTCAGCCGCCACAGTCACAAACAGGTGAGAACACAAACTTTAAAGATTATTAAGAGTAAACATCTATAATCGATCCTCATCTTCCTTCGATGACTAAGGCTCCATCTACCGTTCTACCCTCTCAAACGCGGCGTTTTTAATGCAGACGATACTTACTTTTGGTTATCACTAACATATCCTAAGCATCGAATTTTAAAGTGTAAATCAGAAGCTGCTTCGCATCTCTAGGATTGCTTTGTGTCGGTGTTTTCCTGAATAAAGAATGAGACTCAAAAAGCAAAAAGAAAAAAAAATGTTGATATTGCTGAAGAGCTTCCTTGTTTAGCAAGTTTAAGTTCTAACAATGATAAGGGATGGATGTGATAAATGGTTTGAAAAACCGACAAGTTGAAGATTGAGACACTTATGCAACATATGGGAACATGTTGCATAAGTGTCTCAACCATAAGGGATGGACATGAACCATTAATATGTTACTTAATATTCATCCAGAGTGAAAATGACACTGAATGAATAGGATTGGAAGAAAACTCTTGGAAAATGCGAACACTGTGCCCTTCAGCCTAAAGGACTGACTACCTCCTTTTTACTTTGAGGGACTGATCACCTCAGAATTACCTCTTTTGCTGTCTGTATTTCTTATTTGCCTGTATACTTCTAAAAAAAATCCTGCAGACAAACTTTTCAACAAAAGATACCCAAATATTGCACATGTTTCTTGCTCGTCACCAAACGTAAGGTTTGGATTACATTAATGAATTATTAATGTCGGTTTGAATTACAAATACTACTCAGCTGTATTTGAATTAGAACCAACTTACTGATGGATTACAGGCGAATTACAGGAGAGCATGAGATACATGTACCTTTACTCTCGCCACTCACCCCAATTCCTCCCTTAAAGAATTAATGTCCCCTGCCTCCTCACTCTAGAGTGAGGTGGTGCTGCAAAAGTTAATACTTCTGCGTTATATTTACCCGCCCTCTGCATGCAAACTCTCTTTCGTCTTTATTCTTGTAATGTAACAACCATTGTCAAAGATAGATGG